TGGCGCGGCTGGAGCAGGTACACACCAGGCAGAGGAAGTAACACTTCCCACAGCTAACTTCCTCCAGGGGAGCCAGCGCAGCCCCGCCCCTTCCCCCCCCCCCCCCAGTGCACCTGCTGCTTAGGGATGCTGGGCATGGGGGAAGGGCACCCTGCCAACTCCCTCTTCTTCTCAACCTGAGATCTGCCCGGCACTGAGCCCCCAGCAGCCGACAAGGAATGTCAGCCCTTTACAAAGCCATTATGCCAGGCGATGTCTGACCCTTCCCCTGGTACAGCGGGGGTAACCGATCGGCAAAGCAGCTGCCTAAGTCATACCATGTGACGGGGCCGTGGCCTCTGAGCCCCAGACTCCCCCTCCCTCAGCGGCTTTTCTCCCCACCTCCCGCACTCCCATTCTTTCCCCCACGGCTTTCTGGGGGCCCCGTGAGAACGTGCTGGCCAACGCAGGCCTTGCCACCACAAGCAGAGCAAGTGACCCAGTGTCCCTCCGTCCCCTGGCCTCCCCCGCCAGCCCCTGGGGCAGGACCTTCTGCCGTTAGGCTCTAAGCTGACTTCCTTACTGGGGCTTTGTTGGGGCGAACCCCCAAATCTGGCAGCCAACAGGAAGCTCTCCCTGTCTCCCAGGTCCTGCGGTCAGCGGGTCGGTTCCTGCTGCCTCTTGCAGGTCCCGCCCCCACCCCCTCCCTGAGGTCGGTGCTGGCCCCTTGCAGAGGGCAGGGAAGAGAGATAAGCCCTGGTGTGAAGCGATGGTGAGGAAGGGCAGATACTGTTCAGCCCTCGCCTCTCTGCAGGCCCCCCGCTGCTCCAGCTCAGATAAGTCCCTAGGCACCGGCAGGTACCCCCAGATCAGCAAGGCTGAGGGACTCACGGCGGGGGGAGGAGGTTGAGAGGACAAGAGGGGGAAGCGATGCAGACCCCACACCCCCAGCTCACTCACCGGCCGGCTGGCCTGTGCCTGAAGCCACCAGGTGGTCTCCCTTCCCCCCTCTCTGTGGGCTCTGGCTGCCCCCTCCCCAGCGGCCCCAGGGGACCAGCCAGCGCCGGTCTGTTCATTAGGGATGAAATGTGATCACCGCCCCGCCAGCGCTCCCCACCTGCTGCCCTGGCAGCCGGCGGAAACCAGGGGCAGCGAGGCCACCCTGGCCGCCCTGCGGGCCTCAGTTTCCCCACTTCTACCCCCGGGGAGGGGATGGGTCTCCACCACCCCCTTGCGCACGCTGCCCCAGAGGGACACTGGGGTCCTCAGCCTGTGCCCGCCTGATGTTCTACATTCCAGGCGTTTCCAGGTTCTATAGTCGGTCCAGTTCTGCAGGATAGAACGTTCTGTAGCATTCTAGACCTTCCCTCCCCTCCGTGCTGCTATTGTGGCCACCCGGGCTTTGGAAGTGCATAACCTTCTGTGTTTTCAATACTCCAAAGTCTCACATTCCAGGACTCTCCGGTTCTATTGTTAGAATGCTCTATGATTTTTTTTTTGTTTGAACACTCCATGACTTTCTGGATCTATTATTAAACCTCACTGATTTTTATCTCTGCCCCGCAAACACGCATTTCCCTTTTTCTACAGAATCGGGGCGCGCCCCCCTCGCTCGCTCGCTCTCTGTTCCCGAGACCTGCTCTCATCTCCAATTCCTGCAGCCCGGTTTCCAAGGTGGAGCAGAGTCCTGAGACCTGGCGGCGGGGACAGGGGGCGGCTGGGCGCCCCCGCCACCTGCACCCCGGATTCCCACCACCTGGGGAGGGAGGGGACATCAGACACCCCGGCTGCTTCCCCAGCCCTAGCTCCGCCGGGGCCCCAGCTCTCCTGGCTCACACCGGCCGCGTTATTATTTGTCTAGACACAAACCAAATTACAGGCCGTGTCCCAAGGGAACAGTGGGCTTCCTGGGGAGGGTGGGGGGGTGCGGGTGTCAAACCCCGCTCCCCCGCACTCTTCTCTCTCCCCCCTCCTCTGAAGCTCCGCCCATTCCACCCCCACCAACAGTCCCCACCCACCCACCACCCACCCACACACACCCCGCCCCCACCTCGGCAGCAAGGTTCCAGAAATATTTGCTCTGCACCCTCCCTTCTGGATTCTCGCCAGGCACCCACCCCTCGCTCCCTGGCGGCCAAGCCCGATCCCCCAAAGCAAGTCTAGGCAGCGGCAGCAAAGGAGGCCAGCACTCTGGATTTGGGGTCCTGAAGCTCCCCTTCCCCAGGGCAGGGCGGTGTGGGGGGGGAGCCTGGCTCTCTGACTGGCAGTGTGCCTCGGTTTCCCCACCTGTCACCCGCTGGGGGGTGTGTGTGGCTTACGCAGCTCCCCAGCCCAGCTGGAGCTCCAAGCTGAGAACAGCCAAGACTTCCAGGCTGGCGCTTCTGGACGGAAGGAGCACCCAGCTGCCTACAGGATCTGGGGTTTCCAGTCCTGCCCGGTGAGCGCACCAGCCTCCGGATCCTGCCATCCTAAGGTGCTCAGGTGCAAGGGTTCAGGGGGCTCTCCACGGCCCCCCAGCCCCTCCTCACCCTAAACCTCCTCCACGGAGACAGGGCTGGGTGGGAGGCTCCCTCCGCGGGCTCAGGGGGCACGGGGAGAATCCAACTTGCATCCCACCATCATCTCTCTCTCTCTCTCTCTCTCTCTCACACACACACACACACACACGCACACACGCACGCGCACACACACACCCCACGCTTCACAGAAACTGCTCAGCCGGTACACACGTGTGTGCGTGTGCGTGTGTGCAAGTGAAGTGTGTGTGGGGGGGTGAGGACAAGGCAGGAAGGAGTTAACGGTGACCGGCCAAATTTTGGAAGGAAGTGGGGGAGGAAGTCCACCCCCCCCCCCAGCCAGGAATTCCTGAAACCTAACGGTGGGGTGCGAGGGACCTCAGGAGCAGCGGGTGACCCGGGCAGGGGGCGCTGAGACCACCTGCTCCAGGTCGCCATCCCACTGCCCCCTGCCCCCACTCCTAAGCAGCTTCCCGGCCCCCAGGGAAGGTCTGGGGTGAGGATTTGGGAGGGGAGGAAGATGGGGCAGAAGGTGCAAAAACAGGGTCCGCGATGAGCCGGAGACCGCGGGAGCCAGCGCCGGGAAGGGCGAGCGGCGGGCGGACACTCAGGGCACCGGGCCCAGAGACGGCCGCGCCGGGGAGCTCCGCGGGCACAGAGCCGCCCGGAGCCAGAGAGCCCTCGAGGCGCGCGGGGGGCCTGACAGCCCCCGAGGGGGCCGGGCACTGCGCGCCCCGGGGGCGGGCGCCTACCTGCGCGCTGGACGGGGCGGGCGGCGGCGCCTCTCCGGGCTGCGTCCCGGTCCGGATCGACGGCGGCGGCGCGGGGACCCGGCGGGCGCCCCCGCGGGGCAGGACGGCGGCGGCTCCCTCGGGCCCCGGGGCCGCAGCCGCCGGCCCAGGCCCCGCCCCGCCGGGCCCGCCCCCGTTAACCCTTCCTCTGCCGCGCCCCCTTAATCGCGGAAAGCCGCCGCCCCCGGACAAGGTCAGGCCCCCTCCTCCGAGAGGCCCCCCAGTCCGGAAGGCCGGGCCCCCTCCCCGACACCCGCACGCCCCCAAGGGTACCAAGCCCTGGGCTCTGGGGGACAGGGGCCCGCGCCGCTGCCGCCGCTCCCTTGGAGATCCCAGACCTCAGCCCTCTGGGCGACCCCTGCCCAGCCCCTCCAGGGTGGCGGGCGCCCCGGGCTCGCAGCTGCAGCCCGTGCGTGGCCCCGCCAGACCTCGCAGTGTGCTTTCGGGGTCCCTCCGCTTCCCCTTGCTCCCGGACAGGCCCGGTCCCCTGCCGCCGGGGTCCCGGCGTGTGTGCAGTCGGCCACCCAGACTCCCGTCCCGTGTCTCTCTGCTTTCCTCTTCCCCACCGCACGGGTCCCGTCTAACTTTTTTGAATCTATTTTTTTGAGATGACGTTTTTAATTTATATTATAGTAAAAGGCTTTTTGGCTCCACGAAAGAAAAGGTTCAACAAATAAAAGGTGACGGGAACACAGGCAAGAACTATGGACAACGAGCAAAGAAAAAATGTTCGATTCCCTTGTACAATGTCAAGTCACCAAATCTTTAGAATTATAGTAATAGAAAATCCCTGTCCATTTGTTTGACAGAGATTTAAAGCAAAGCTTTCAAAGACACCGTGTCTGCGGCAAAATTGATACACCCAAGCATGCCTTTCTTTCTTTTTTTTTTTTTTTTTTGTTTTTAATTTTTAGCTTCCACATATAAGGCAGAATATGCCGGGCTTGTCTTACGGCGCCTGGCTTATTTCACCCAGCGCGAGGTCCTCCACGTCCAGCCGGTGTTCCGCCAGTGGCCGGCTCATATTTTTGGTATTTTGCTTATTCTTCCTTAACCCCTGCCCACCCCCACCCCCACCCTCGCCTCAGGTTTGTTTACTGTGTGTGTGTGTTTACTGTGTGTGTGAGTGCGCTCAACACATCTCCTTCTCTGTCTCTCCATCATCAGGTGCTCCGTCCAGTGGCCCCAAGAAGCCGTGCCTGTTCCAAGGACTTTGGAAAGACCTGGAATACAGCCCCGAAATGACAACTCCTAGGTTCACAAATTCTCTAGAGTTTTTTTTTTTTTTTTTTTCATTAAAAACCACGAAGAGCGCCCAGTTCTTAAGGGAACCGTTAGAGCCGTGACGAATCCCACCCTATAGCTGGCCAGGACAGATTCCCATCACAGCACACCCACCTCACCCCAGAGGGAACTCCCTTCCTTCCTCCAGGCGGAGTGCCGGAGTGCGGAGCATTCTAGAACTTCACAGAAATGCAGTCCTGCAGCTCTTTTAAAAACAAACAGAAAGAGGTGGCTATTATTACAGTCACTTGCTGTGTGGTCTTGGACTGGTGACTTCACCTCCCTGAACCAGGCTGCAGGAGACAGGACGCGCGTGGGCGGACCATGGAGCCACACCTGCAGCTCCTCCCAGGAGCCGTTCTGGGAGGTTAGAGTCCCGTTGTTTCTCAGGCTCCCCTTAAATCTGCCATACGGCTTTCTCAGGGTCCCAGTGGGACGCAGGTACCTGGGGGCATTTATGGAAGGGGCAGTTTATAGAGGGGCGGGCTGGGCGGGGGAGCCCACGCAGTTGGGGACCCTGCGGTGAGGACACAGCCTCTACCACCACCCCTGCCCACCTGGGGCAGAAGGGACGGGAGGGAGGGCGCCGCCTGCCAGACTCCAGGGACACAGTCTGGGGAGGAGCCGTGGGGGCTGCAGCTCTGCAGGTGCAGGGAGCGGCCCAGGAAATCAACACCCCCCCCCCCCTCCCGCCTACCCTTGGACTTCCTGTCCATGCCTCTCATTGATAGAACCCAACCAGAAGGTGGAGGGCAAAGGTCACCCGTGGATGGAGCCTGCACAAGGCGGTCTCCCAGGGCCCAGGGCAGGGGCGGAAAGGCTGAGCCTGACCCTGGGGGCCAAGTAGAGGGTCCCCAGCCCTTTTTCAGTAGAACTTTGAAGGCACATTTTCCCATGCAGACCCGAGGCCGGCCATGAGGGGGCGACAGAGCACCAAGTCTCCAGATGGCACCAGGGTCTAAAGGTGGGGCGCAGGAATGGGGGCTGTGACTCGGGAGTGGCAGAAAATCGGCCTCTGAAACCTGACGGGACGGCTGGTCAGTGCGGGCTGAATAGGAGTTCGCCAGGTGGAAAGGATGGCCGGGGAGGAAGGCGGCACAGAGGTCAGAGACGAGAGTGGACTCTGGGCTCCTGTGGCTGCCGGAGGCGGTGGCGGCGGGGGCACGGGCTTTGGGCACAGGGGCTGAGACGCCCTGTGTCTCATACTGGGGGGCCTGGGTCTTGGCTCTGCTCAGCTTCCTGCTAATGCACCCTGGGAAGCAGCCGGTGAGGGGTCAAGCTCTTGGGCCCCTGCCACCCCTGTGGGAGACCCGGATGGAGCTCCCGGCTCCTGGCTTTCACCTGGCCCAGCCCTGGCTGTTGCAGGCATTTGGGGAGTGAACCAGTGGGTGGATGATCTCTCTATATTTCCTGCCACCTCTGTGACGTTACAAATAAATTAAAAAAAAAATTTTTAAGTGAAGCATCAGAAATGATGGAAAAATAAACACGCCTAACTTTGCTTTTGTTGTTTTGGATTTATTTATTTATTTATTTATTTTGACAGGCAGAGTGGACAGTGAGAGAGAGAGACAGAGAGAAAGGTCTTCCTTTTGCCGTTGGTTCACTCTCCAATGGCTGCCGTGGCCAGCGTACCGCGCTGATCCGATGGCAGGAGCCAGGAGCCAGGTGCTTTTCCTGGTCTCCCATGGGGTGCAGGGCCCAAGCACCTGGGCCATCCTCCACTGCACTCCCGGGCCACAGCAGAGAGCTGGCCTGGAAGAGGGGCAACCGGGACAGAATCCGGCGCCCCGACCGGGACTAGAACCCGGTGTGCCGGCGCCGCAAGGCGGAGGATTAGCCTAGTGAGCCGCGGTGCCAGCTGGATTTATTTATTTATTAGAAAGTCAGAGTTACAGAGAGAGGGAGGGAGAGAGAGAGAGGTTTTCTATCCGATGGTTCACTCCCCAGATTGCTACAATGGCTGGAGCTGGACCAGGCTGGAGCCAGGAGCCAGGAACTTCTTCCAGGTCTCCGTCGTGGGTGCAGGGGCCCAAGTACTTGGGCTGCTTTCCACTGCTTTTCCCAGGCCGTTAGCAGGGAGCTGGATTGGAGGTGAAGCAGCCAGGACTTGAACTGACGCCCATAAGAGATGCCGGCCTCACAGGCAGTGGCTGTACCCACTACGCCACACGCCGGCCTCTGTTTCGCTGGTGTTTTTAAACTTTAGGGAGGGGCAGCGCTATGGCACAGCCCTGTAAGCCGCTGCCTGCGATGCCAGCATCCTAATGAGCGACAGTTTGAGTCCCAGCTGCTCTGTTTCCAACCCAGCTCCCTGCTAATGCTCCTCGGAAGCTTAGCAGAAGACGGCCCATGCGCTACCTTTCAAGTAAATTTTTAAAAACCAACCATGGCCGGCGCCGCGGCTCAGTAGGCTAATCCTCCGCCTAGCGGCGCCAGCACCCCGAGTTCTAGTCCCGGTCGGGGCGCCGGGTTCTGTCCCGGTTGCCCCTCTTCCAGGCCAGCTCTCTGCTGTGGCCAGGGAGTGCAGTGGAGGATGGCCCAAGTGCTTGGGCCCTGCACCCCATGGGAGACCAGGAGAAGCACCTGGCTCCTGGCTTCGGATCAGCGCGGTGCGCTAGCCGCGGCGGCCATTGGAGGGTGAACCGACGGTAAAGGAAGACCTTTCTCTCTGTCTCTCTCTCTCACTGTCCACTCTGCCTGTCAAAAAAAAAAAAAAAAAACACATGTTTTTATTTACTTGAGAGGCAGAGAGACAGAGGGAGGGAGAGACCTATCCAGGCCTCCCGCACAGACGGCAGGGACCCAGGCATCGTCACCTGCTGCTCCCAGGCGCACAGTGGCAGGAAGCTGGGACTGGGGGTGGGTGGAGACCTGAATGCGCTCACTCTGATGCGGGGGCGGGGGGCAGGTGTCCCCGTGTCCCAAATGCCCAGCTCAGGACAGTCAAGTCTGAGTGACGGCTGCTCCGGCCAGGCACTGTGCCGGCCCCCGGGCGAGTAACTCAGTGCTCGGAGCACCCCGCTGTGCCCCTGTGCAGTAGGGACACTGAGGCACGGGTGCTTCAAGGAGTCTGAACCTCAGCTCTTTCCTATCACAGGCTCTCAACGATTTCACATACCCCATTATTCACTCAACAAACCCTCCTGAGCCACTGCTGGGGGTGGTGGCCTCAGTGGCTCTGGCAAGGGGGAGGCAGACTTGTCGCCAACACCCATGTGACACCCAGAGCAGTCAGGGCTGAGAGGGGATGCAGGGTGCTGCGGGTGCCTGGGAGGGGGGGCTCTGTCACTGTTTGTTGGGGGAACCAGAACTGGGGAGGGACCGTCAGACAACACCTGCCTCACCCTCGGCTTTACCTGTTCATTCCTTACTCACTCTGCCACCCCCTCCGAGAAGCCCTCCTGGATGTCCCCTGGGCCTCCCTCTGGCCATTCAGGGTCCTGGCTGGCTGAGGACAGGTCTGCCTCCCCCACTGGCCTGTGAGTCCCATGCAGGCAGGGCTGGGCTGTCATGGAGACCGCTGTGCCTCAGCACCGCCCCGTGCGGGACTTGCCCTAGCATAAAACTCCTTATCTGTGTTGAATGAGTGAGTCACTGATCAACACTGATATTTGTTAAGCACTTACTGCATGCCAGACACGTGCTAGAGAGAGAGAGAGAGACAGGAAGAGAGAGAGAGAGGGAGGGAGGGAGGGATCACCTGTTTACTCCCCAAATGGCTATATTGGCCAGGGTTGGGCCAGGCTGAAGCCAGGAGCGTCATCTGGGTCTCTCACTTGAGTGGCAGGGGCCCAAGCCCCTGGGCCATCTCCCTCTACTTTCCCAGGCCCATTAGCAGAGAGCTGGATCAGAAGAGGAGCATCCGGGACTCGAACCAGCACCCACACGGGATGCTGCCATTGCAGGCGGTGGCTTAACCCACTGCACCACAGCGTGGGCCCTGGTTACAACTTTCAGAAGCCCTGATCCCACGTGTCACGGGCAATTGATCAGGGAATGCATTGCCCAGAATGGAGATCTTTGGCTTAGAAAATGGAAGCGAGGGGGCCCTTTGACGGGATGCAGCTGCCCCCGGAGCTTTGTGTTTGGTTCTGGGGACCGTCCCTTCTGCAGACACTGCCGGTGGGCAGAGTCATGGCTCAGGCAGCGGCTCCCAGGGCCCTGCGGGCGACGCCAGTGCAGGCGTAAGCAGGACCTCTGTAAGCGAGAGGTGGCTTGGGCGAGGTGGCCCCGAGCTGTCCCTCCTGGAAGACGGAGGTGCGGTGCTGCACGGGGCCAGGGCCTCAGACTGGCTGGGAGCTGTTTGGAAGGCACATTCCCAGGCCCTCCTCCAGACGGACGCAGGGGGGTGGGGTGGCTTCCTCCTTGTAAATGAGAGAGACAGCGGCCGGCGCCGCGGCTCACTAGGCTAATCCTCCACCTTGCGGCGCCGGCACACCAGGTTGTAGTCCCGGTTGGGGCGCCGGATTCTGTCCCGGTTGCCCCTCTTCCAGGCCAGCTCTCTGCTGTGGCCCGGGAGTGCAGTGGAGGATGGCCCAGGTGCTTGGGCCCTGCACCCCATGGGAGACCAGGAGAAGCACCTGGCTCCTGCCATCGGATCAGCGCAGCGCCGGCCGTGGCGGCCATTTGGGGAGTAAACCAACGGAAGGAAGACCTTTCTCTCTGTCTCTCTCTCTCTCTCTCTGTCTCTCTCTCTCACTGTCCACTCTGCCTGTCAAAAAAATAAAGAAAGAAAGAGAGAGACAGCAAGTACCCCCCACAGGGCTGTACTGGCTAGGACTGGGTCAGGCTGAGCTCCAGGAAATCCACGGGGATCTCCCACGTGGGGGGCAGGGGCCCAGCACTTGAGCCCAGGGTGCACACTGGCAGGAAGCTCGAGTCATGAGAGGAACCCAGACACGCCGATTGGCCACACAGGTGTCTCAAGTGCCAGGCTAAACACCTGCCCCTCCTGCGAGTTCCAATTCAGAACTACGGTGGCGTAGCAGCATCCCATGTGGGCGCCGGTTCGAGTCCTGGCTGCTCCACTTCCGATCCAACTCCCTGCTGTGGCCTGGGAAAGCAGCAGAGGATGGTCCAAGTGCTTGGGCCCCTGCACCCGCGTGGGAGACCTGGAAGAAGCTCCTGGCTCCTGGCTTCAGCCTGGCCCAGCCCTGGCTGTTGCAGTCATCTGGGGAGTGAACCAGCGGATGGAAGATCTCTCTCTCTCTGTCTCTCCCTCTCTGTAACTCTGCCTCTCAAATAAATAAATTGAATTAAAAAAAAAAAAAAAAAAAGGCCGGCGCCGCGGCTCACTAGGCTAATCCTCCACTTAGCAGCGCCGGCACACCGGGTTCTAGTCCCGGTTGGGGCGCCGGATTCTGTCCCGGTTGCCCCTCTTCCAGGCCAGCTCTCTGCTGTGGCCAGGGAGTGCAGTGGAGGATGGCCCAGGTGCTTGGGCCCTGCACCCCATGGGAGACCAGGAAAAGCACCTGGCTCCTGGCTCCTGCCATCGGATCAGCGCGGTGTGCCGGCCGCAGCGCGCTGGCTGCGGCGGCCATTGGAGGGTGAACCAACGGCAAAAGGAAGACCTTTCTCTCTGTCTCTCTCTCTCACTGTCCACTCTGCCTGTCAAAAAAAAAAAAAAAAAAAAAAAAAAAAGCACTGTTGACCCAAAGAGGAAAGACCTGTCTCTCAGTGCCGGGAACACAGGAGGGAGAAAGCTGTAGCTAGGGATGGTTACAAAATTCTCTTATTACGAAAGATGAGGGGATCGGAGCGGCTCAGTGTCGGTGCCCCGTGGACATAGTCAGCCGGTTCATGCCGACGGGAGCGTGCGGGCCACGAACACGCAGTCACGTGTCACTGCTGGCCGCAGGCCGCGTCTCGCACGTGTGTCCTTAGGCAGCTTCGTCACTGTGCAAGCATCAGGGCCTGGACTTGGCACACGCCGAGACACTGATGGCATCACAAAATAGCGTCGTCTTTCGACAAGACAGACAGGCGGGGCTCCTCCCCTCTGGCTCACTCCTTAAATGTCCACAGCGTCCGGTGACCGGACGGGAGCCCGTGCTGGGAGCAAGGTCCTCCATCCAGGCCTCCCGCGTGGGTGCCAGGGATCCGGTCACTTGCGCCATCGCTGCTGCCTCTCAGGGTCTGCATCAGCAGGGAGCCAGAGCCGGCGGCTGGACCGACGTGGGCCGGGCGGCTCCCCCTCCAGCCCTGACACCTGCCCTGTGACGCCACCCTGTGAGGCCACCACTGACCAAGACACAGCTCCATAGCAGCTGTAGAGGGTCCCGAGCTCAGACCTACCCCCCCCCCCCCCCCCCCGCTGCCGCCCTCGGGCAGTCGCCATGTCTACAAGGCTCCAAGCTGCTGCTGAGCCAGTCCCAGGCTCCGGGCTGGACCTCACGGGTCCTTGGACAACACAAACATCAGTCCTGGAAACCCAGGGTCCCGGGTGGCTCTCTCTCGCTGTCACGTTGGCCTGGGTAA